CAGAGATTGGATGCATCAACGTCTTCCGCTGCTGCTCAAGCTTGCTTCGAGGGTCAAAGGGCAGCGACCGCCGAATCCTACCAGCCATCCAAGATGGCAACACCATTGAAATCCTCCTTGCGACGAGATTGGGCCCGTGGGCTGCTACCCGCAGGCAAAGTCTTGGAGTATGCTTGGGGCGCCAGTCAACAAGGTGCTCAAGGGATGGGCCGCATGGGCAGATTGCCAGACGACCCTAGGCATGCACACCGAAACCTGATCAGAGCTCTTGGCTGGCCTGATAACGCCCCAGAAGCTGAGTTCATCAACCTAACCCCCAATGGAACGACTCTGACACCTCATCCTGTCATTGATCCTTGTGCCATGTGGGAAAGCATATATAAGCAGGGCGACGCAGCGTTTTCGATGAAGTTGCGTGGCCTGCCTGGTGATACGACATATTTCTGGACAAACATGAAAGAGCATGTGATATATAAATCTGTTTCCTCCGATATTGATGATACATTGTGTGTTCCCCTCACAATTCACGGAGATGGCGCTGCCACGCACAAGACGGACGGGCTGTTTACAATCAGTTGGTCAAGTCTCCTCGCCAAGGGGACTACTAGAGACACGAATTTCATTTACACTGTTGTTCAAAAGTCGAAGATGAACGACGATACCCTCGAAGTACTTTTCGCTGACCTCGCGAAGAAAATGAATGCCCTCATGAGTGGTATGACTGTCAATGGCCGCCCCTTATCTACGAATGGATATAAAGGCGTTGTTACAATGGTCCGTGGAGATTGGGATTTTTTTACTCAAGCATTTCGGTTTCCAAGGTGGGACTCATCACCGAATATGTGCTGGATGTGTTCAGCAACTAACAGCATCGAGTCTGATCTTTTGTGGAGCAAGCGGGGTTGGCGAAGGACGTTGAGATCTCACGAAGACTACCTGCGGTACCTCCATCACAAGGGGTGCCCTTTACCAGCGCTGTTCGCTGTCAGATCCCTGAGGCTGGAGGGCGTCGCGCTGGATTGTCTACACGTTCTGGACCAAGGCATTTCTTCCCATATCATCGCGAATGCGCTGGTGGAGGTGATGAAGTTGGGCCAATGGGGTACGACTCAACAAGACCAAATAGACGGCCTCCGAGACGACATACAAAAGTGGTATGAGGCGAATCACCAGGCTTCCCGCATCCAGGGGAAGATCACGTTCGAGCGGCTCAAGACGTCAGCTGATTGGCAGAAGCTCAAAGCGAAGGGGGCGGCTACACGACATTTGTCTAGATATGCAACAGAACTCACAGCTCGATACAATACTGGAAGTACCCACGATAAGCGCCGTTGGGTGATTTGCCACCTGTTGCAGCGTTTCTATCAAATCATTGCTCAAGAACCGATGTTTCTGTCAGAGGCGGCGAAGCGAGAGCTCAGGCCTTTATCAGAGTACCTTGTTTCAGTGTATATCAACCTCGCAGACGAATCCTTGACAAAAAGGGAGCGTATGTGGAAGATGACAGCGAAGTGCCATGCTTTTCAACACCTGTTGGAGGACCAGGCTTGCAATTTGATCAATCCGACGTACACGTGGAACTATTCACCAGAAGATTTGCAGCGCTTGGTGAAGGATATAGCCCTCAGTTGCCACAAGAACAATACGCCGATAATGGTGATCTTCAAATGGTTGACAGATGTATTTGATATGGTTTAGAGTTTATATCTTTGTGCCGTGCTACAGCAGGCTCGGTGGACGGAGGTGCGCATACCGTTGGGATGCGCATGGACTTGTGGAAAACATGCGTGCACGCACGTAGAAAGGGGAGCAGAAGAGGAGGAGGAGAAGGAGGAGGAGGAGGGGGAGGAGGAGGAGGAGGAGGAGGAGGAGGAGGAGAGAGGAGGACGAGGAGGAGAAGGAGGAGGACGAGGACGAGGGGGAGGGAGGAAAAGGAGGAGGAGGGGGAGGAGGAGGGCAGGGAATAGGAGGAGGAGGTGAAGGAGGAGGAGGAGGTGAAGGAGGAGGAGGAGGAGGAGGAGAAGGAGGATGCGTTCCCATGGCGGGGTTTCGAGAAGACGCCGCCTGTGCTGAGCGTCGACGACGACACCCCAGGACAGCCCTGGGACGCTGGGGGGGGTGGGGAAGGAGCCGAAGAGGAGGAGGAGGAGAGGAAGGGGGAAGGAACGAGGAGGAGGAGGAGGAGGAGGAGTGAGGGACTGCTTGAAGCCCTAGGACACAGGAAGGAGGGAGGAGGAGGGAGAGGAACCACTCGAAGAAGGACCCCTCCCCTCTCCTCCTCCTAGGACCTCCTCCTTCTCCCTCCTCCTCCTCTCCTTCCTCGCTTCCTCCCTCCTCCTCCTCCGCCTTCTCCTCCTTCCCCCTCCTCCTCCTCTCCTCCCTTCCTCCTCCTCCTCCTCCTCCTCCTCCTCTTCCCCTCTTCCTCTCCCCCCACCTCTTCCTTAGCCATGCGGGCTCAATCATGTTTGGGCTCAAAAACCCAAGGCGTCAATTCCACAGAATTGACGACGTCGCCTCCTATACATAGGAGGGGCGCCTGTTTCATACATTGCCTCCTATATCTTGGGGTCGATGGGTGCTCGGGGTTGTACCCCCCACACCTTTTCCCACACGTGTAGGTCTTCTTTCAGGTGTTGCGCATTTCCAACGATCCCTTCACCACCATGATCAGCCCGCGGTGGGAACCAGAGCTGGGGCGCCTTGCTCCGACTATGGGAGTTGCTGGAATAGGCTTGGACCTGTCCGCGCACCTCCTGTTTCCAATGGTTGACGCGCTGCTGGGTCATATGGACCTCAATGCTGGTGGTTTCCTTAGCTGCAAGCCAGCTCATGTCTTTGAGCCAGTCAGGGTAAAGGCACCACTCGGCCGTCGCCCTGGTAGTCCATGTGGCCCGGGTGGCGTCGCTGTTCTATTTATTGTGGAGCTCTTTGATTGTGCGCAAGCGGTCCTGGATGAACTGGCTCGTGATCGCCATGCCCATATTGGTACTGAACGCCAGGTCAATGCACGTTGCGCTGACTTTGCGCCACCATCTAGAAAGCTGCGCCCCCCCCCTCCGCCGCGGCCTTAGGCGAGTTGCGGATGGAAGCGACCAGTTTCACGTTGGGCTCGTCCAAGTCGCCCCTGCCCTGGTACTGCCTTACGCTGTCTGCTGAGATCTGGTAGCGGTTGATGAGCTCCCTTTCGGCACTGCTGGCCCATAGGGCATGCGCCCATGCGAGGTCATCTTGGTCACGCACCAATTCAGCTTCCCGCAGCACGTCGTGATAGGAGGGCGGTGGCCGAGGAGCTCCCACTGGGAGCTCCCGCGGCCAAGGCTTGGGCAGGCACATCTGCTGCGCCAGAACCGAACCAGCTCCTCGGGCAATGGTGATGGCGACGCCCCAGCGGGTGGCGATGGGCAGCCCTTGAGCCTGTAGATGGATCGCACCATGCCCCTGATGGTGTCGGAAACGAGAAAGTACTCGATCGTCCTGCCTTATCCTGCCACGCAGGCCCAGGTAGTAGCCGCCGCGATCGTCGCTGGGGAATTCTGCTCCTGGGGGGTCATATTCCAAACGGCTCCAAGCACAAAGGGCCCCCCAACCGCCTTCATCCACGTTAAGACGTCGCGCGGCGGGAATTGGTCGCAGACTTCCACGTCCGTGCTAGCGCAGAAGTAGAACGAGATGAAATAAAATCCCCCTGAAACCATGCCTTCGCATAACTGGGCCACGAAGCGCTCCGGTTGCGGCTGCTGCGCCCCTCGCCCCAGTGAAAGGTGGGGCAGCAATAGCAATATCCGATTGCATGAGAATTCCCACGCCGGCCGAGGCAACGCGGTCCGTTTTGCCCGGTTTGGCGGCCGGAAGGGAAGCGCGCCAACCTCCCCACTTCAACCTGGCAGCGGCGTTACCGACGCCGTCGCCAAGGAGCTCGTGCTCTTGAATCGCCATCCCAGCGGAATCCCATCGAGAGAGCACCTCGCCCACAGCGGAGATCTTCTGGCCCTCGGCCTGGGCCAACGTGACGTTCATTGTGGCCAGCTTCCAAGTTCTGGGCCCCCTCACTGCGGCTCGCTATGCCGCTTGCGGAGGCCCCTGCGAGTGGAGGCGCACGCTGCGAGACGCCCTGAGCTGTTCAGGCTGGGGGGGCACCGTGGCGGTCGTGGCGCTGCCTCCGTGATCGCCAAGGGTGGATCAACAGTGAGGTCTACGACGGAGGTGGAAGTCGTCGCAGCCGCGGCAGTGTCACACCCTTGGGAACCCTCGCCCAACTGGATGGTTGAGTCCAAGGGGTCATCCCCCGCGAGATCGATGCATTCGCCGCTACCAAACCCGCCTCCTGTCAGATCGATGCATTCGACACAGTTGGAGGCGAAGCCACTGACAACGCCTCCATTGCGCAGCCCTTTTACGGTCCCTAGGGGTCCAGCAATCGACTGTCGGGATGGCGGGAACAGCGCTGGTTCGCCCCCGGCCCCATCTCCACTAACCGGGTCTGCCGTCGCCCGAAAAACACCAGTTACGGCAAACCTGGTTTAGTGAATCTGACCAATTGAGGGGCCCCACGGCCCAATAATCTGACCAATTTAGGGGCCCCAGGGCCCTACCACTAACCGCGTCCCCTAACCCAGGGTCTTGGCTATACCCGACTGGTACTTAGTACCAGTCCAGGCCACTCAAGATCAACAACGTTGTAGTCCCAGAAGCTTGGCCCCAAGCGTGTGGCTGGTCCACTGTGAACGTTAAATCTGCCGCTGTTCTCGTTCACGTAGTGCAGCGGAGAGACGGCCCTGGAACGTGGGTCCTGGAGACGAGGTAGGGGTGGAAGAGGCGGCGGCGTCGGCTGGCGGGGCCAAGCCTGTCCTAGAAGCTTCAGCTGCTGCGCCTGTTGCTGGTCCTGCAGGTTCCCCTCCTCCTCCTCCTCCTCCTCCTCCTCCTCCTGGGGCGGACCCTGTATCGGTCTTCCGCGTTTTCCCTTCGAGTCGCCGAAGCTGGTCACGTTGTGCTTCCTGGGCCTGTTTGGCCTTGCCAAGGGTGGCCTTGAAGATGTCGGCCAAGCCGGCCTGGACCTGTTTAGCGATCTCGTCTTTTCGCTTGTTAAGCTCGTCGAGGTCGCTCGCTTCCAGGTCGTAGTCGCGCTTGGCTGCGTCCGTGCCCAGGAAGTCGTCCATGGTGAGGATGGTCTCAAGCGTGCCGTGCCCCTCGACCAGCTCGCGGATGCTGATCGTGGGAGGCTGCTTGACGCCCTACTCCGCAAACTGGCAGTGCAAGCCGGAGACAGCCTGCTGGTGCTCCTTCTTTGCATCGTCCAGCTGACCGCTGAGGTCGGCGACGCGGTCGAAGACGGCTGCGCGGGACTTATCCCACCGCTCGAGGCGTTCAAGATCAGCTTGGATCCGCTCCTGGAGGTCACTGACGACGAGCTCGGGCCGCTCGAGCTGCTGGCGTGCAGTAAGGGGGCGCGGGGTGGGCTGCTTTCGCGACCCAACTAGCGCTGCTGCCCCACTGGGTCACCAGCGTCACGTGCCATGTCGGCCATCAGCTGGGCCTTGGCAGGGTCCATGATGACCAGAGGCCCTGGCGGCAGGGGAAAAGTTTGAGCAGCAAGCCCACTGGGCTTGCCGCTCTGGGAGGTCTGTCGAGTTCCTCCTGGTCCTTTGCCTCCTCCGAGGTCCTTGCCTTTGCCTCCGCCCTTGCCCCCTTTTGTCTCAGGGAGCTGGGGAAGTGGCCACACCAGGGGGAGGAAGGCTTGGGCGCCGTCTCCTGGAAAAGCGGGCCCACTGGGCCCGCCCCCCTTGGGCTTCTTGCCTGTAAGGGACGAGCCGCACTGTGGCCATAACTGGTAGCCAACGTAGTTCTTCTTGCAATGGCAGGTAGGGCGCGAGACGCCCTTGGCGCCGTTGGCGACGTATCAGTCACCGTCCTCGGCCGTAGGGCGTGTCCAGCTGCCTCCCCAACGCCTCCTACGTTCTTCCGCTCATGGCGTTGTCGATGAATGACGAGGAGCAGCGGCAGCACCAACAGACACCTTGCCAATGCCAGCCTTACCGCTGCCACCTGCCATTGCAGTGCTCCACCAGGAGCTCACTGAAAATGGCTTGTATCCTTTAGAGATTGGAACCTTGGTGGGGGAAACAAAAAAAAAACAAACAAAACAAAAAAACAAAAAAAAAAAAAAAAAAAAAAAACCCGGAGAGGACGGGACACACTCCGGACTGAGTTAGGGCAGAGAGGAGAGTCGTATTCACTTTGTGTAATCGTGAAGAGGAAAGAAGAGGAAGGAGCAAGGGAGGAGGGGAGGGGGAGGGAGGAGGGTGGGGAGGATGGAGGGAGGAGGTGAGAGGGATAGGAGGGAGGAGAGGGGAGAGAGAGGAGGGAGGGTAGAGGGAGGGGGGATGGGGGGGGGGAGGGGGGAGGCGGGGGGGGGGACGGGGGGCGAAGGGCCCCCGATTATCCTGTCGGCTCCTACGGCTTCGGGGCGCCACCGCTCCCGTGGCGCCTGCCGTGTCGGCCCGCCGTGGGCAGACAGGGACGCCGGTGGCGCGCGGCTGGGGGGCGCGCCTCGGACTGCCGAGGCGCGCGAGGGGCGACGGGATGGGGCGAGGAGGGTGGGGCGACGGGCGGGATGGTGTGGGATTATCACTACTCAGCCCTCCATTCCACCCTCCATACCAATCCGCCTACGAATCATAAACCCATCCTCATTCCTCACATCCTCCCTCCGCCTCCTCCCCCTCCTCCTCTCTCTCGGCCTTCCTCTGTCCTTACTCCACCCCTCCTCCCCTTTGTCTCCTCCTCCTCCGCCCCCTCGCCATCCCCCCGCCCTCCAACTTCCTTCCTCATCCTCTCCCTCAATCCTCCCTTCCTCCTCCTCTTACCTCCATCCTCCATCCTACTCCCTCTCCTCCTCCCTCCCCCTCATTACTCAACATCCTCCTCGCGCTCCTCCTTCTCTCCTCGGCCTCCTCTCTTCCTTCCTACACCTCCTCCTCTTCTCCCCATCCTCCGACCCTCCTCTTTTTTTTCCCTCCTAATCCTCCTCAGCCCACTCCTGCCTCACCACGCCTTCCCCCCCTCTTGTCCCCCCCCCCCCACCCCATCCTCCTCCCCCCACTCCTCCCCCCACCTCCCCCCTCCCCCTATACCTCCCCCTCCCCCCCTCCCCCTTTTTTTACCTTTTATTTATTACCTTTCTTTTTAACTTTTTCTCATCCCTCCCCCACATCTCATCCCCCCCTCCGCCCTCTTCTCCTCCCTCCCCTCCTCCCTCCTCCTCCTCCTCCTCCCTCCCCCTACTCCTCCTCATCTCCTCCCTCCTCCTCCTCCTCCGCCCTCCTCCTCCCGCGCCCGCGAGGAAGAGGGCGCCGAACCCCAGGCGGGCCGGGGCCGCGCCGCCCCAGGCGCTCGACGGCGGCCGGGCGGCGAGAGGCGTCCGCGGGGGCCCGCTCTCTGGGCGCCGCGCTCGCGAAAGGACCGGAGGGGCGCAGGTGGCCCTCAGTGGGCCACCTTCTCGGGCAGTGCGAACACGACCCAGAGCTCCAAAATTCCAGAATGTTTGAAACCGCGTTTTGTTTGTTTGTTTGTTTTGATGCTTTGAAATTCGTTGTTTTTCAAGTTTATACTACTGCACCATGGTATTCCAACGGCTCGTCTTTTTAAAAGAAAGCAGGAAAGGGGGTCAAAGCCGAGTGGGCCCTGGAAACGACAGGGCCTTTTTGTTACCGGTTCCGTTTTGCCTTTTTTGTTGCCGGTCCCGAAGCCGAGTTTTGATACCAGCTCCGTCGCCGTTCTTTTACGGGTTCCCGCTGCGGCTCCAATCCTGGAGCCGTTTTTGTTGCCGTTTCCGGTCGCCGTTTTTTTGCCGTTTCCATTTTCAAAGGACACTTTTTCAGAAACGGTGAAAAAACGGTGGCCATATGTCGAATAGGGAATCGACTGCTGAATTGATTTATCCCAGCGGTGATCTGTTCGCCGAAACCATGGGGAATTCGTGGAATGGTCGCAGGCCTACGAACATACTGCCTCGCTTTTGTAGTCGTCGATCCCCTACTCGACCTAATTGGCTGCGCGCACACGGCGGGATCAGCTCACGCAGCCGAGCTACCAGGCTCTCCCTCCCTCCTCCCATCCCTCCTCCCTCGCGTCTCTCCTGACTTCCCCGAGGGCGTGCCTATGGGCGGTAGCCAGGGCCCCTCTGGCTGCGAAGGCCTGCAGGGACTATGGGTCGGAGGCGCTCACAGAGGGGAGGGGCGCCGCGTATACGCGGGAGTATGCCCCCTGGGTCACAGTCAATGAGTCATTCATCTCCCCCACTCCTCCTCCGAGCTCTCTTCCTCCCTCCCCCCCACGAAGCGCTGTCTCCCCCAAGTGGTGCCAAGGGAAGGAGTATGAAGCGGCCCCAGAGGAAAGAGGCCCGCGACCGCTGCGCGTGGGGCATGCGACGGCCTGACAGACAGCATAAGCGTCCGCCTCCAGGCTGTGCGCGACCGACCCTCCCTCCGTCCCACCTCGCGATAGCGCCGTCTGTCTTGCGCGAAGAGTCGCAGGGCTGGGGCGGACGGACGGGAAACCCTCGAAGCATGTCAGAGTGTACGCTTATGTGCGCTTCGGGCACTAAAGGAAACGACAACACCATGCACGCACGGAGACGCTCTCGGACTCAACCCGCGCCTCGCTCGAGCCGCGTGGCCCGACCGCCAAGCCGAGGCAGCCGCGGAAGCGTCGCCCCCTGTGCCAGATGCGCCGGCCTGACGACAGCGCAGCGACCGCGCCGCGCGCCGGCGCAGACCTGGAACTCGACGCTGGCGCCCATGTTACCGGCGCCCGTGCTTCTTTCCATAGCGAGAGCTATCGAGAGCTGGATTGGGCTGCAAACCAACCGGATTGCCCATCGCGCAGCGAGCGCGGGGCCGCGCCAGGCGAGGGCGTGCAGACCGGCGCCCAGGCCACGCGATTACACGCAACCGCACGCCAACACGGCGTGCAGACCGGCGCCCAGGCCACGCGATTACACGCAACCGCACGCCAACACGGCGTCTGGCGGCCCCATCTGGCGCATTATTTGCAGCACCCGTGCCTCCTGCTGCCGCTCCGGCAGACACCTGGAGAGGAGCAGCGCGCTGGTTGGCCCTCTTTTGCTCATGTGCGTGCGCACACGGCTGCTGCTAGTACTGTGCCTTCTGCGAAGATGCATTGGGGATTGAAAGGACTCGACGGCGGACAGGCTCCTCGCATTTCAGCTCAGGTCTGCTGGCGAAAGGGCGCGCACGTCCGAGGCTCCAGAACCTTGTGTCAAGACCCTGGCGCATTGCACGCAGCTTCAATGACGGCTGCAAAGCGCAGTGGGTGGTGAAACCCGTAGCAGTTCCAGCAAGACAATTGGATGGTGGGAAAAGCGATTGCGCTCATGAGCTGCTGTCGGCACTCGCTCTGGAAAAAAAACGCGCAAACTAAATCCAGATGAAACGCGTTTAGTACTAACTATGCGCGGGGAGAAGAGCCGCCTGCATTCGCGCACCATTCCGAGCTCGCACTCCGGACAGCTGACGGGCAGGTACAGCCTGAGGCTCCCACACACCGCAGACCCACGAGTATACTACCCCTTCTTAGGGAAAGGAACTACATACACCGACGCTTATTCCGACCCTGCGCTGAAATTCGCACAGGAACGCGGATCCTGGTGTATACAGGATCCTGGTGTGTACATTTTTCGCTGCTTCCCTTGGAAAACGGGGGAAAGGCATACACCACACCACCCCGACGTCGTCCCCGACCCTCAAAAAGTCGTGGGATTGAAAAAACAACCCGCCACTGGTAATGTATATGTTCCAGTTTCCGACTTTTGGCAGTTTGTGCATGGCCCGTCGACCCCTGGGTGCACCCGACAAGTCGGTACCAAGTGCCCGAATCGATGATGACAGCGATCGAGACAGCAGGGAGAAGGCCTAAGTCGGGCCTGTCCCCCTACAGGGGATTGTCGAGTAAAATTAAAGATAGCCAAACAAATACTCGATCTATATATATATATATATGTGTATATAGATACACTCAACAAATCGTCCCCAGACTATGTTTTGACTACTTCTGAAGATTCCTCCTGTATCGGGAGCGGCCAAGAGGGGGGTGTCCAAGAGGGGGGGGTGCAAATCATGACCGGCGGCATGTGCGCGGCCCAGCGGGGGGGGGCCAGGGACGCAATGAAACAAGAAGAGGCGCCCTGAGATCTGGGGAAAAATCATGGCCCCCGCCATGCTATCCACCCCCCCCTAGTCATCACCCCCCTCCTTGCCGCCCCCGACTGCATAGGGACAGGCCCGACGTCAGCGAAGGCTCCCGGCAGGGCCTCGCGCAGAGGCCGCGCTCACCGGGTCGGGGCTCGGACCCCGGCCACCCCCAGCGGACATCCGCGCGCTCCTGGCCGGTGGGGGCCGTCGGACCCCCC